ATATATATATATATATATATATATATATATATATATATATATATATATATATATATATTTGCTTAGGATTTGCCCCATTGGAATTCCTGGCAGGTTGTTAAGAACAAAATTTCAAGGTACTTAGGCTTTCTTTCCATTTTTCAGTAAATCGAGTCCTTAAGATTTTACTGGCATTATCTTCGTCAAATCAGAAAAACAATCAACCAGACAGGTCAACTAAAGAAAGGCTTCATTGAAGGCCCTTAATCACACAAACAATAGGTTGACTACATGCACAAGTACCAAAAGGCAAGGGTGTGCGTGGAAGCGGGTATAAACATGATAGAGAAAAGAAAAGGGTAAACAAACTAAAAGTGAAAGTTGCACAAGGAAATCTGTATGTTGTGACTTTAGCACCAAAATGTAATATTAATGCTACATCATAAAGCATATAAAAATGAGACGTACATAATCATGAGAAAAGGCTGCTCAAGTTACATGACCATAATGAAGATTTCACTTGATTTATTTTTCATTTCTTTGAAATGTTTGAGGACGTCTCTTTTGTTTGCTCCCAAGTAGTTGGGGAGTTACTTATTTACCTTTATATAGAAGTAATTTCCTAGGAAATAAGAAAATACGTTCCAGGAATGCCCAAGTTTAGAATCCTCCATGTCTTACTTTTCGCCCACATATATTGTCACAACTCTGCAATTTGGAAGTTCCTGTCACACACCCCACCCACCCAAAAAAAAAACCCAAAAAGAAAATGTATTTCATGTAAAAAGTTGCATTGTTCGAAACATCCAAAATGTTCGGCACACCACTTCATTAGATAAAAGATTAATTTAAAGATAAATGTCTTCTCTATGAAACAAAACGACAGCCGGACAAGCAAACCTTATCTTTGGCTTTTCATAACCAATAAATAGCGTTAGTATTTTGTAGTCCAGCCAACCTCTTTCTTCTTTTTTTCTTTTGAAGGCATCAAAAGGACATCTTTTTAAAATTTACTAATTTCCCACTTGGAAACCTAAGCTTTTGTGAGGCGAAAGAAAAATTCTTCCTATCTTTTGGATCCCCCAAGTGGATATCTGATAGATAAAAAGACCAGTTAAGTTCTTTGGCACAGACCACCAAAAGTTTGTAAAAGTGAAACTTTGCCTTTGTATGCAAAACATTGGTGATACTTCACCTTTTTTTTATGACTGAGAAGTTTGGCTGGAGCCGGCCCTTTGGGCCAACCGCAGCCTTCGAAACTCACGGTGATGGGTCCACTCCTACCTTTCTCCACTTAAATACCAGAGTTGGTTCGGTTGGTGCAAGGCTCAAACGTGCTAAGACACAAGTCCCTCAACCTTTGCCAATTGAGCTAACTCCCAGGGGCAAAAAGAAATGAAATGGAACCTAGTGATACTTCACCTTTTTATGCAAACATTAGGCAAAAGACTTGGAAAGGGCCTTCTAGAAAACATAAAGTAGAATAGCATTGCATCAATTACAGATATACAGATACTTACTAGTACTTGAAGTCCCTCGAGGATCAAAATCATCAAAATCTTCCTCATATTTGCTTAACGATACAGCTGCGCTATGTGGAGGATTAGAAGTAGCTTTATTAGGTTTACCTACCCTCTCTGACGTCTTTGATCCACTAGATGAAACAGTGTCTTGAACCTTGCTGCAAAATGTCCTTGAGTTTAAGAAAACGGATATATAATGGAGTTTAAAGTGCAACAGTACAACCATTGTGGAGATGATTGCCACTTAAACTTTAGTCAATTTGAATGCTAAATCTAACAGTGATATAAAGAGGAAAATAAAGTTCGAACAGGTACGTATAAGCTGCCTAAACATGCCGGACAGAGAACTACACAACAATTGAGGCCCAAAAGTATGCATAGAGTACACTATGCAGTAACCAATTCAGAAAATTGAAGACCCAATTGGGGAGAGAACCAATGAAGAAAAAGAGACAAGTTTCTCTCTTTTAGAATCAAAAGCAATTAGTAAAACTTTATATACCCCCCCCCCCCCTTTT